GTCGGAGTCCAGATCACCGTGCACCTGATCTGGCACGAACACATCTCGTCAATAACTGCAGCTGCTGGGAAAAAGCTAGGCTGTTTGTTTAGGGCTAAGAAGTACTTCTCTCCGCATGACCTTCTCACTCTATACAAGGCCCAGATAAGGTCTAGCCTCGAGTATTGCTCGCACGTTTAGGGTGCTGCCGCCCCGAGTACATTATGCATGCTCGATGCTGTCCAGAGGCGGCGGTCCGACTGACGGATGAGTCTTCTCTAACAGACAGTCTCGGGTCTCTTTCGCACCGGCGGGCTGTCGGCGATCTGGCTCTTTTCTACCGTTACACCAACGGGCTTTGCTCCTCAGAGCTCTCTTCCATGATACCGTCGCGCGATGTGCCTGCCAGTCAGACCCGCCTGACTTTGGCGTCCCATCCTAACCGGCCGATGCCACCGCTCCTTTGTCCCGAGGGTGTCGAGATTGTGGAACAATCTACAAGAGGAAGCTTTTCCCAGTTCTATTAACCTTAGGCAGTTCAAAAATCGTATTAATCAAATTTCTTTGGGATCATCATAGCACCCGCGGTGTTCCGGCATTTAGGTTTCTGCCTGCGCGGCTGCTTCGATACAAAAAAAATCTATAGATGGTCTATAGTCATTTTTCTTTGTCTCGTCTAGCGTTCATACGATAATGTGAATTTTTCGGTCTCATGTTCGTTTTTTCCCAAATGTTTTTTTGGTTAACAGAGCAATTTAGTTTTTTTATGTTTTAATATTATTACACTAGCTAATTATAAATGCCACGTACTTCTTTTGATCTCATATAATAAAATATTGCCTTTCTGAGGATTTCTAAGCACTTTCCATATTTTCTCAAGCTGGCATTTAACAAATAGAGCACAATGGATTTAAAGAGCAATAATAGGATAAATTCTAGAAGTTCCACTGAGGTAGAAAAATTACCAGCCCCAAATATCGTCTGCCCCCCCTCCTAGACGAAATCCTGAATCCGCCTTTGGCACTACATGCAAGAATTTAGAGTGGCAAGCCAATCTCTGCCGGTGAGTTTTACAAAAGAAGACTAGCAGCGACTTCCTCTCTGACGAGAGACCTGGAAGTAACCACTACTTGGGGACGCAACCATCCTGGACCGGTTAATGCTTCCAAAACACAGTACTGTACCTTGACGAACAAGAAGCGTCCTAGTGCTCATCCGGTTTTGATGGATGGCCCAGTTCTACCAAGGAGCCGTTTATTTCAGCTGGTTGGAGTCGAGATCACTGACGACTTGCTCTGGCACGAACATATCTCGTCAATAGCGGCAGCTGCTGGGAAAACCTAGGCTGTTAGCGCTGAGAAGTACTTTTCTCCATATGGCAGTCTGTGCAAGGCCCAGATAAGACCTAGCCTCGAGTACTGCTCACATTTCTGAGGTTCTGCCGCCCAGACGACATTATCCATACCCGATGCTGTTCAAAGGATGGCCCTCCTCCATGATGTCGCCGCGCGATGTGCCTGCTAGACAGATCCTCCTGACTTCGGTCTCCCATCGTAACCGTGCCGAACTTTGTACATCCAGAATTGGCCGACACGACCGCTTCTAGCACTTAGGCTGCCTGCGCGGGTGCTTCGGTTTTAAAAAAAAATGTACGTCACGCTCAAAGACCGAAAGCACAAAGTATACAACACCGCATTGTGGCAAGGAAGAAAATCCATGGCCGAACCAAACTCGATTACAATATCAATAAACCTGTTCTGATTTCCGTAGATACAATTAAAGGTGGTATGAGATAACTTACCTGTTGCATACGCATCTCAGGCATTTTCAGATACACAGAAAGGTGGTGTTAAGTAGGTTGACTCTGTACTTCCCGCGCAGTTCTTAATGGATTATATTAAGCACAAACTGAACCCTGTGCCTCTCCCCTACACCGAACCTCGGTCACACGTAGCAGCGCGGCCAGATTTTTTACCTCCAATTTTTTTTTAATTCTCAAGATCATCTGAAACGTCAACAGATGAAGTTTGAGCGATGTTTTTTTTCGTTTTGGCATTTTCGTCTCGACCTCAAGACCGATTTTCAAAAACTAACAAACGTTTTCGTCCTTGGCATAGCAGCAACATTGCGGAAAAATTTCTTCAAAATCCAAGCGGTACTGCTCAAGCTCTAGGCGGTGATAGTATCAGCGAATAGACAGACAGACCCACATGTACATGTCACATAGTATCCAAAAAACATATCTCATTTTAAAAAATATCCGCGATTGCAACAATTCGTCGCCAGTAGGTGTGGGAAGTAAAAGGGCATGAATAGAAAAAAATTAGCCGCTATCTTATTTGATTGTGGAAAAATTCATGAAAGTTATGTACCAGTCTATAGAGAAGAAGATGCTGAACAAGGACTTTTGCCTCCACGTTCCTTTCTTATAAGTTTCAGTATTGTATTTCATTTGTTCTTTACTTTGGTTTGTATAATGCACTTTGCATTCAGTCTCGATTCAGAACTCATTCAATTAACATCGTTGTATTTGGTTTTTCTCAAAAATAAATCTTTTTTAAAAACCTTTTGGTTGAAGAAAGCCTAGAAAAGAGTTTTGTTTGTCAGGCGCTCTTTCACGTATTTCCAATAAAGACCAGCGTAAAAGTGTTTCATTTGAGAATAACTTGGAAGTAAGTGTAACAAGTAATGGTTGCGAAAGAATAAAAACTTGTTTGAGATACAATCAACATCTGGTTGGCTAAAGTCAGATAAAAAAGTACCAAGATGTATGAAAAGCAATTTCAGGTATGGAAATGAGATCGTCGAAGATACAGGTTTGATTGTTGAAGGACATCGGTTCTTTGGACAAAAAAACCACGGAAGAATTATACAGGGTGACTTTGAAGTTGAGTCATTAATTTTCAGATAATGATTGTAGAAGGAAGATAAACCAAAATATGTGTGTAAAAATAAAAAAAAAATAAAAAAAATGTTTACCTTGTTTTATAAAGTATCCTCCCGACAAGTATTTCAGTGCGGACCTGTATTTGATCGTGAGGTCTTGGAGCACCGGCCTTAAGTCACCTGATTCACGAGCCCGTTGTACTACATTAACAAAGGCACGAGGGGTTGGTTGCACTCGATTGGGAAACCGATCCGCATAAACATGTGCCATTTTTTATTTCGTTTGAGCCACGCAACAGACACCACTATTCACTTACGCGTTACCGACTGACACTGACTGTTTACAACTGAATAAAATAATTGTAAAAACATCGTTCCAAATTCTTTCGCTTTTTTGTTTCCGATGCGATGAACCGATAAGGCGGATTATATCCGTTGTTGCCAAACACGAGCACATAATATATTATTGAGACAGGGCGGTACTCAAACTTCCAAAGGGCTATAACTTTGTTACTTTAATTTTACCAGAAAAATGGTAAAGGAAAAAAACATTTCTTTTGATCAGATCTACTCACTGTTAAGATAAATGACTCAACTTCGAAGTCACCCTATAGATGAAATTGACTTTGTAGTATTTTGATTGGGAAATGTAAAAATCATGCAAAATGATAATTTTTTGGCTTGGTATGTGTTGTGATATTGAGAAATTTCTACGTGATTGTAGAACATGTCTAATGTACAGGGTGTCCCATCAAAAAGAAGCACATCATCAACATGAAATACATCCTATACCTAGGTACAAAATTGGTTGTAACTTTTTATTGTTGGTTTGTGAAGTCGAGTAGTCTGTAGTTTTCATATCTGAGAAGATAGTTGGTTGAATAGCAAGATCGCATCTGGATGACTGTGTGTATTGGTCTGCAAGTGATATTTGCTGTCTGAGAAAATCATTACTGGATATGCTTCAAATGAAGTATATCAATTATCTGTGCCCGACGGGTTATTTATATGTTGCCCTTTCTGAAGACAGGTTATGTTCAAAGTTATGAATTACGATTTTTTACGTTTGTTTGTGTTTTACAAAACCTTTAAGGAGAGTTATGGAAAATCAACACCGCGCCCGCGTTGTGTGTAATTGCTGTTAACATGTATATGACTTGTAATTGGACAGTTAACAGTGGACATAATCATTTCTTATCACTCTCATTTTGGAAATTTATCAGATTTGGATATGTAATTTCCAGAATGGATAAGAAAAAGTGAATATCCAACTAATTTCTAGCTTTGAATCTAAAGTAAGTGTATTTGAGAAAAGAACCTAATGAAAATCCTCTCTATGCACCTATGCATTGCCGTTACCATCACATCAGAGCCAAACATTGACAACTGAAGCCTCATGACGCTCAGGCAACACGTACAACCACAAAACGAGCTTACAAAGTATCCATCAGCTATTGTTAAGTTAACATCTTGTAGAAAAACCTACATACTGTCACAAAAAACCAGTATGTAAAAAAATCTACGTAATGTCAATTTTCAAGATATGTAATACCCGCACGGGTATCACGTATCTTGAAAAGTGCACATTATGCCGATTTTTTTTATATTATGTAGGTTTTTATACAAGATATTAATTAAGCACTTAGTTGTACGTGTTGCCTAAACGACATGACGCTAGTTATCAATCTTTGACTCTGATGTGATGTAAAATCTGCTTCTGAGATGGCATTACTGGAGGTCTAAGCTGTAAGTTGTATGTGTTGATGATAATTGAAGAGCTAAGTGGAAGAAGGCGGTATGTGACATTTTTCTCAAAGTCTGGGTTTTATTATGAATGAAGGTGGTATGAGTCAATCTATCTTGCTACACTTGTCCAAAATATATAACGTGCTTAATAAGAGATATATTAGTTGATGAAGGAGATATGTATCATCAGAAATGCAGTTCGACAATGGACGAAGGGGGTATGTGGCCGATATGTACACATACCGCCATCTTCCATTCGATAGTAAAAGAAGCATGTTACTTACCACCTTCATCCACTAACAAGCGGTTATAATCTAATAACACGCATGGTGATTAGTGAGGTTAAGTTTTATAATAATATTATCTGATAATATTAAGTGGCAAGTAAAATGAGCTCCAGAGGCAAAAGAATACTAGACATAGCTTTAAGAGCTAATGAGAGCCAACGTAATATGTACGCATGTGAAAGCAACGGTAAGATAATGATATGATGAAGTATTAGTTTTTTTGTAAATATTAGCTGCTTAACCTAAAACTCAATTTCAAAATGATTTATTGTTGTTTTTCTTGAGTAGTGATTTCATTAAACCAGTATTTTCCTAGGTAAAATTACTACGATTTCAATCCTAAGGTATACTATTATGCCCCAACGATGGTTTTTAGTTATAACAGATATCTCATCTCATTTTTGCCTTTCAGTATCTGGAACTGATAGTGAAGGTGAGGTCAACTGCCTGTTCGGTGATCACTCAAGTGATGAATACCAACCTGATTATGAAGATATGAGCGATTCTGACCGAGAATCTGTTACAGAACTTCAACCCAACAATTTTGTTGTGCGACGCAACGAGGATGAAAACATATGTGAGAATACAGTAACAACTCATGCCAACACCTTAAGTTAAGAACAGCAGCTGTTAGACGGAACATCTAAAAAAAAGAAATGCTTCGCGCCTAAGCTAAAAATTTCAAGAAAACGGATACGACATCCTGAAGAGTGGGTTAGACGTAAGGCATCAATTGCTAGAGAAAAAGGAGAGGCATTTATTAATTACAAAGGACAAGCTGTACAAGCAAAGTCATTCTCAACTGGGGATTTGTGTCCACAAAAATGCAAATTAAAGTGTAGTGAAAAGTTTACCGAGAGGCTATTTTTTCTCAATATTACAAGCTGGACGTTAATGCAAAGAATGCATTATTGTTTGGTTCTATCAGGATATATCCTGTAAAACGTAGGAGAAAGGATGCCACGAAACATAAATCAGCATCATATAAATGTATATGTATTATAACATTTGAAGGACAACAGATCTTTGTTTGCAAGAACGCATTTGCTAATTATTCTGCATAGGCAAGAAAAAAATTGATTTACTTCAAAAGTCTATAAAATCGGGCTTATCTGCACCCTATCCAGATAAAAGAGGTCAGCATAACAACAGACCTCATAAGATTGACGATCGTGTCAGAGAGTATATAAAGCAGCATATCGCAGCATTTCCAGCAGAGGAGTCACACTACTCGCGGACTAAAAATATTTACAAAAAATACCTCTCTCCTTCGTTATCTATAGTAAAAACGCACCAACTGTACATAGAAAAATGTGTACTTGATAACGTTGCTCGCACATATCATGTCAAAGACTGTACATACCGAAATGTGTTTGTTTCAGATTTTAATCTGTCATTTGGCTACCCTAAAAGCGACACCTGCAGTATTTGGGATGCTGGTGAATCGAATGAAGAACATGTTGAAAATTATCATGAAGCATATGATGCCCTGAAAACTGATAGAGAGAAAGTCAAAGGTTCATATAATTTGTCTTATATGACAATGGACTTGCAGCAGACCATACCTCTGCCTCGGCTAAGCACATCTAAAGCCTTCTATTTGAGGCAATTGTGGATGTGCAATTTTGGCACCCATATTTCAACTAAAGAGGTGGAAAAAGCTGTATTTTGTTCATGGACTGAAGATCAGGCGTCAAGAGGAAGCTCTGAAGTATTTAGCTGCCTCCTTACAATTTTAGAGCTAGAGGATTCTGTAAAAAACAAAGACCATCTTATTATCTGGTCAGACTCATGTGCAGGACGGAACAAAAACTTTCTAATAATCTGTCTATATCAGTACTTGATACACAAAGGTCTATTCAAAATAATAGATCATAAATTCCCTGAAGTAGGACATACTTATTTAGATTCAGATAGGGATTTTGGGCGCATCGAGAAAAACTTGCGCAAACACCAGAAGAGTATAGAGAGATCATTGTTAAATCCTGTTGAAAATATAAAGTCATAGACATGACCCAACATTTTAGAGTGACTGATACTGTTGAAGCAGATATGAAGCTGTACAACAGAAAGAGGGATGTTAACAAGAACAAAATACAGTTTCGTAATAGTATCAAGTGGATACGGGTTGAAGAGTATGGTTCTTACCTATTTAAAACAACTTATGATGAATACACGCCCTTTCAAAAGGTAAACATTTACAATAAGCTACGTGAAACTCCAAGTCTGGAATCAGCAATCACCATATCGAGATTATTTAGAAAGACTGGTTCTTTGAAGCAACCTAAACTTGAGAACCTGAGAGAGCAGCTGAAGTATGTTCCAGACCAACACAAGTGGTGGTACCAGCACATTTTGGATGAATATGAATAATACCAATGCTAAACTCTTGACTATGTATAGTTTTATTATTGCAATATATCCATTTGTGCAATATTGACATGTTTTCATATTGTTTATGTGCATAACCACCATCATCCATTACATACAGTATAAATGCTAAAACTAAAATTAGTGGATGAAGGAGGTATGTACGATTTTAAGTGATTTTTAAACATAAAAATAATGAATTGAACAAAAATGTTAAGATTATGAGATTTTGCACTCTTATAGCAATAGAAATACAACTAAAAATTCATAAATACCTGTCCCTAGTAAAAGTAGACAGTCTAAAACTTTAACAGCTGATATCTCAATAGTAACTTTTTGCTACATACCGCCTTCTTCCACTTAGCTCTTCAATTACATTGGGTTCTTGTCTCAAATCTCCACTTTTTTTTATCCATTCTGGAAATTACATATACAAATGTGCTGAATTTCAAAAATGAGAAGAAATAATTATATTCACTGTACACTGTCGAATTGCAAGCCATATACTCGTACATGCTAACAGTAATTACACACAACGCGGGCGCGGTGATGATTTCTCGCAATTTATTACTTTGAACATAACCTCTCGTCAGAAAGCACAACATAAAAATAACCCGTCGGGCACAGCCAATAAATATACTTCATTGGCAGCATATTCAGTAATGTTTTTCTCACACAGCAAATATCACTGATTTTATACACATGCAGACACACATAATCATCCAGATGCGATCTTGCTATTCAACCAACTTTCTTCTCAGAGATAAAAGCTGCAGTCAAGGACCATTTGTCCTCACAAAACATAGGCAACCAATAATGCGTGTAGTTTAGTTGAGCGATTCCTCCTTAGATGGACGTTCACAACGATCCTAGTGAGCAAACGTGGAATGACTGTTTACGCCCTAAAAACTACCTAGCAAGATGACATCTTATAGGTTTTTTTTTGATGTTTTATAGGTTTTTTACATGATACTCAAGCGGGTGTCATGTATCTTGAAAAGTGACGTTATATCGATTTTTTTGAAATGATACTGGTTTTTTGACATTATGTAGGTTTTTCTACAATATGTTAACTTAGCACTTAGTTGTACGTGTTGCCTAAACGTCATGAGGCTTCAGTTATCAATGTTTGGCTCTGACGTGACGTAAAATCTGCTTCAGAGATGGCATTACTGGAGGTCTAAGCTGTATGTTGTATGTGTTGATGATATTTCCATTGATTTCTTGTCTCAAATACACTTAATTGATATTCAATGCTAGAAATTAGTTGCCCAGCCACTTATCCATTCTGGAAATTACACATACAAATTTGCTGAATTTAAAAATGTGAGAGATAAGAAATAATTATATTCACTGTGTACTGTCGAATTACAAGCCATATACGTGCTAACAGTAATTACACACAACGCGGGCGCGGTGATGATTTACCGTAATTCTCCTCAGCTTTTCGTAATTTATAACTTTGAACATAATCTCTCTTCAGAAAGCACAACATATAAATAGCCCGTCATATTCAGTAATGATTTTCTCACACAGCAATTATCACTGATTTTATACACATGCAGATCAATACACATAATCATCCAGATGCAATCTTGCTATTCAACCAACTTTCTTCTCAGAGATAAAAACCACAGACCCGGATCACTCAGCCTCACAAAGCTATGCAACCAATAATGCGTAGTTTAGTTGAGTGATTCCTCCACAGATGGACGTTCGCAACGATCCTAGTGAGCAAACGTAGAATGACTGCGCCCTAAAAACTACTTAGTCTGCAAGTTGACATCTTATAGGTTTTTTTACGTTTTATAGGTTTTTTACTTGATACCCATGCCGGTCACCAAGCAAGACACTTCTCTGGCAGCATAAACAGAAACTAGGTCATTGTTAAATGATTGGCAATAATTCTTCAGTGTACTGGAATTGAGGATTCAATAAACGACTTCTAAAAAGTAGATGCCTACTTTCTTTGAACCCAAAGACTGAAGTTAATGCCACAAAACACTTGTTCTGCGTGCTGAGATTCACAACTCAGTAACTAAAAGAACCTCAAAGCCATTGCCATAGAGGGGCTTTATTTAATGATAATAAATCAATAAGAGGCATAACGCACATGTCTCTTGTTGCTTAACATAGCTTCCTAAATTTGAATTTGAATATTTCACAGTGAAAGTGTGGCGGTGTCGGATTTTTTTACAAGAGTCGCTGATCGCGCCCTCCACTACTGCAGGTCTGTAAATAGAATAATAGAGATGTCTAAAGGGTTATGAATAAAGGGTTTTAATACATTACAAGATGAGCACATATTTATATGTTAGTTAGTATCTAGAATAGTTTAATAGCTGGTGACGTAAAAATAGATCCATTGTTTTTCACTCAACGCTTTGGAGAACGTTAAAGTAGGCATATGCTGTACGTATTATCTACAACAAAAAATAACATCAATGGTGAATAGATATGTTATAAATTATATTATTATGGAATACCTGAACAAATAACGGTAAGGTCATTGTAAACATCCCTCCAGCCAATTTTATAGAAATCTCCCTCTTTGTAAAAACCATGAATAAAGCCAACGTTTTCTTGTAAGAATAGTCAGCGTTGATCCATTTTGAGCTGAATGAAGAATAAGGAATATCTTCACTCTACAAAATAAATGTTCTGATGCTCTAATGTATTTATAATATGTATTGATTCTATTTCAGGTTTTTTTAAATGCGTCTATACCACTTGCTATAATCATAGTCATAAACATAAGCCCTTGTCATAGTTAAGCATAACTAGACTGACCTGAAGTTCATAAGATTTAACTATTTTGATTATTAGTATGACTATGCTGATGCTTATGCAAATGTTGTATAGACCAGCATTTAGTAAGAATGTGGAATATAGTAAACTACTTTTATTCTTAAAAAAGACTGACAGATAAGCAATTTCGTTAGCCAGATCAGTCAATCAACTTATATAGTATTTTTTTATGCACCAAAAGCTCCCAATGTAAATACATATCACAAATATAATATGCAATGAACGACCTGCGAAAAGAAGAAAGAGCCAGTTTTATAGACGTAGCCAAAAAAATATACTTTTAATGAATGAAATGATTATTTTTTTAGTCAAACTATTATTTATTTATTAAAGTATATATTTCATACAAAAAAATCTAAAATACGGTATATAAAACCAATGAAATATACGTTTTTTAAAAATGTGTGATTTGGCTCTTTCATAACATTTTGGTATTGAAAGAGCCACTAAAAGTAATGAAAGCTAATAACTTGAAATTGTGAAAATTATACAAACTAATAAGTATACACTATTAAAAATCAAATGAAAAGACAATTCTAACAAATTCTTTTTAAGAACTAATCATATTTTATAATAAATGTAAACTTAACATATTAGAGGCAGATTATGTTTTATCAATAACAATGTTGAAATTAAATAAAACAACAAACAACATCTTTTGTCAAAAACAAATCGTTAAATCTATCAGAACAGAATATAATGCGTATTCTTCAAATTAGAAACACATCTTGCAAAGAAATTAAGGTTCCCCCTAATACCACAGCATTCATGAGCCCAACCAGAACAAATTTTGCACTGAAACCAATCTTGATCACTGTCTTTATATGTTTTGCTCCAAACTACACAATCATCACTATTGTTATTTGTCTTTGGGTTTATTTTGCTTCGAACACCCTTTGTTTTTAATTCATCCAATACGATAGAGTCAGACGAATCAGAGTCATCTTGCAGAACGGAATTTTCTTTATTTATTTCTGATTTTGTTTTAAGCGTTTTTATGGAGTCTTTTATTTTCTTAACAGTAACTTTTGGTTTCTTTGCACTATACTCTTTCTCCTCTATTTTTTTCCTTTCGGGAGAGTCGGTTACGATAGCAGATCACATTTTTCTATTATTTCGTTTCGTGTTTTGTCTTGGCCCCGCTTTAGAAAATGGTCTTATCATCTCCGGTGATATAATTCGTTGACTCGGATTTGCAGCCGTGGGGTGGAGGTTGAACGGTGAGAGAGTCTGATATTCTGATCTATTGGAAGCTCATTTTCTTCGCCAGCTTCAAGCGATTTTGTAGAAGATGGAGGTGTTGTTTCTAAGTTTCTTTCCATACTTTCCTTATACAAGTTCAAACCATCGTTTGACTGCGAATCAAGTCTATCGGTCACATATGAAGATAAAAATGCTTCTTCATTAAATATATTAGAATTTAATGGATAAATTCCTATTTTCAAAGATCCTTGTGTTATATTCCGTGGACTGAAAGCTGGCAAATATGCTTCTTTTACAAATTTCCCAATTTGGTAAATAGTAACTGTTTTTCCAGGGTTCGTCAACATCCATTCATTCATGGCAGTGCGGTACCTAGTTTTGAAAGGCCCATATACTGTGATATCTAGTGGTTCCAGTTTATGACTGCAGTGTGGTGGGAATGTAACTATTATGATGGAGTTTTGTCTGGCAAATTCAACCACTCTGATTTACATGAGAGGTGTGATTATCCATTAATATCAATGCTGGATTCTCTTTTGAAGGCCTGACATGTATTGCAAAGTGTTCAACCGCTTTCACAAAACAGTCTTCAGTCATCCATCCAGAAACTTGAGCCAATCCTAGGGCTCCTGGCGGACCATTATTTAGCATAATATCTTTATAATTTACTCTAGGAAACACAAAAACGGACGGCAAAAAAACACCAGCAGCATTAATAAAGAACAGAGTTGTCACCAATGTTCCTCGTTCGGCTGAGGTAACTTGCCCAATTTGTTTGGAACCCCTTTCAGCTATGACCTTAGGAGGATTGGTGACGGTGCTGCAGCCTGTTTCATCGGCGTTAAAAATCCTATGAGGAGAAAATTTGTACCTTTGTAAAACAGTGTTTAATTTCTCAAAAAGTGTGCTTACACTAGCTTTATTAAAACTTGTTGCACAGGATAGAGAAGTGCTTTCAGGTTTTCTCACAGTTAAGTCTTTGTGTCTGCTCA